ACTCCTCAGCTCCAGGGGGGCAGTAAAACAAGGTGGGCTTCTGTCACCAGCCCTGCCTCGAGCAAATTGGGAAGTAAATATACTAGAAATATGAAACTGTTCATGGGCTGGTAGTATAGCTCAGTTGGTAGAGTGATGCCCTGAGTTCAACCCCAGCTCTGTGGTGGAACACGCCTGTAATGTCAGTACTTGGAAGGTGGAGACAGAAGGATCAGGAGTTCAAGGCCAGCCTGGAAATCTCAAAAAATCAAACTCCTCATAAAACCAAATCAAATAATTCACTGACTACAATTTAGGAGCTGTAAAGTCACTAAACCTCCTGTTCCTTGCTTCAATGATTTTCCCAAGTAAATGAAGGCAGGGCAATATGACCTGGTGTACTCCAATCTGGCTTGCTCTCTTCTCCAGGAAGCACCACCTCCAGCCCTGCATTAAATTCCACAGCAGAACCCCCTGCTCAGTTTCTGGGCATGCAACTCAGCTGGCAAACTGTTTGCCTTCCGTACACAAAGCAGGATCCTGCCACCTCATATAACTAGGTATTATAGCATACATGTGTATGACCCCAGGACATGGAGAGGTAGAGTCAACAAAATCATACCTTCGGGGTCATCTTCAACAACGTTGCAAATTTGAGACCAGCCTGGGCTATATGAGACCTTGTCTAAAAAAAAAGACTTGTTCCAGGCTCCCTACACTGGTGCCCTAGAAATACTGGTTGAATATACACGGCCAATGTGTCAAGTCCCTGAATGTATGACTATGCCTGAGTTCCTCATACTGTTTCCTCTCCAACCCACCTCAGGAGTTTAGAGGTCAGTCTTGAACAGACAAACTGAAGGAAGCAGGAGTTCACAGCAACACCCAAGTGTAATCATCAGAGAGCCTAGGGCAACCAGGCAAAACTAGACGCCTGTGCAGACAGGCCAAGCGACAACACATGGCAGAGCATCTTTTTTTTTTTTTTTTTTTTTTTGGTTTTTCAAGACAGGGTTTCTCTGGAACTCGCTCTGTAGACCAGGCTGGCCTTGAACTCACAGAGATCCGGCTGCCTCTGCCTCCCGAGTGCTGGGATTAAAGGCGTGCGCCACCAACGCCCGACTTGGCAGAGTATCTTAAGAAACCCAGAAACCTTTCTGTTGCAGGAAGACAGGGATGGGCCAGTTATCTGGCATCTAAGTTGTGTCACACTGGATTGGAGTATTGCCTCCTGGCACTCAGTTTTCCTTATCACAAGCTTGATTAGGCTAGCTCTCTAAAGGCAGGATGGCCAAGCTCTGAGAAACTGAGTCACCCTCAACATCAGCAACAAAATGTCCCAAAGGGTCAGAAAGTCAAGCAAAACTTCAGTCTGCCTGTCCCAGTGAAATAAATACAAAAATGCTACACACAAAAAGCTGGTTGGCTTTTTTCCTTTTTTTCCCCCTTTGTTTTGAGAGTCTCAATATGTAATCCAGGCTGACCTGAATCTGACTGTCCAGCCTACCCTAGCCTCAAACTGAACATCTTCCTTCCTCAAACCGGGAGTGGTAGCGAGTATCTCTAATCCCAGCACCCAAGAGGCAGAGGCAGGAGGATCTCTGTGAGTTCAAGGCCAGTCTCCCATTCATAGTAAGTTCTAGGACAGTCAGAGCTACATGATAGAGAGATCCTGTTTCAAAACACCTATAAAAGAAGGACTGAAAGAGAGAGAGGGAAGGAGGGAGGGAGGGAGGGAGGGAGGGAGGGAGTCAGTCCTGCTAATGCAGTCTCCTCCGTGCTGGGAGAACACGCACACACCCCCACACCCATCTTGAATAATGAATATCTAAATAAGCTTACTAACTGGAGGTAACATACTTCTGTGGAGCTCAGAGGACGACCTACAGAAGTTAATTATCTCCTCAGACCATGTGGGCTCTCAGGATCAAACTCAGTTCCTCAGGCTTGGCAGCCAGTGTCCTCACCCACTGACCCATCTCACTGACCTGGATATCAGAGTCCTCACACATACATAGCCCAGGGTTTTCAAAACCAACGTGGAGAGTCATGACTAGCAGTTAGAAAGCAACTAAATGGAATTGAGCAGAAAACTACCTGAGTCCACTTAGCGGGGGTATTGTTTGATTTTCTTTCTACTTCCCTTACGTGTGCTTACACGAGTGCATACCAGCACATACACACTGTGTGGTTATGTGAAGTGTTTAGCTGTGAGTTGCGGTCAAAGGCTTGAGAACCACTGATCTCGTCTAATTGACGCTCTTCTCCTCACCCCAACATTCTCTCCACCTCCAAGAGTCACTCTCAGTTCCCTAGAACACTTCCCAGTTGTGTAACCATAGCACTTCCCGCTCCCTCAACAGAGAACGGCTTTGCTCTCCCTGTCTCCCGGGGCTTGACCCTTGATGACACACCTGAGTCATGTAGCCTCCTCTGGGTGCACACCCTCTTCTCCCTCCTATTTAATTGCAGCGTTATGCACCTGAAATGAATATGGTTTAAGACCATGTGTTTGTGTGTCAAGTTGACAAGGGGTAGGATGCCCTGGTTAGCTTAGTGTCAACTAGAAGTGTCCACGTCCTAAGAGTAAGAATCATGTAGTCTTGGTCTCATGGCCAGTGGTTGATTCATATGCTGTCCAAACCACACCACTGTCTGAGTTCAGTCCTGTGTCGGATCCCTGACCTTGTGGAGCCCGTTCTCTATGGAGAGATACCTTGTTCAGCCTAGACATGGGGGGGGGGGTGGCTTGGTCCTGCCTCAACAAGGTGATGGGACAGACTTAGTTGACATCCTAGGGGAGGCCTTACCCTCTCCGAGGAGCAGATGGGAGGCGGGATGGGGGAAAGGAGTGGGGAGCGGGAAGAGAGGAGGGAGTGGGGACTGGGATTGGAATGTAAACATTTAATTAATTAATTAATAATTAAGAATCATGTAGTCCCCACCTTGTTATTGCCAGGATCTCATGTGGATGCCTCTAGCTCACAATAAGTAACCAATAAAATAGTTCATGGTGGGCATACACAAAATGAGATAAAAATGATATCCATACATAAAGAACATGCAAAGTATGGTACATACATACAAAACAAGCTCCTACTGTGTGCCCATTGTGAGAGTGTATGTGTTATTTACATAAATAACATCTTTGAAGAGTACAAAGGAACTTGGCATGGTGGGTACCTTGTCTCAAACAAACAAACAGACAGACAGACAGACATACAGACAGGTGGGCAATGGAGGCACATGCCTTTAATTCCAGCAGGTAGAGGCAGACAGATTTCCAGGTTCAAGGCCAGCCTGGTCTACACAGTAAGTTCCAGGACAGCCATGGCTACCCAGGGCTGCAGGGCTACACTGTCTCAAAAAGTCATCTTCATCATCATCGACAACAACAACAACAAAAAAACCAAATCAACCAAACGAAACCCAAATAAGAGGGGGCTAGAGGGATGCTCAGTGCCTAGGAGCATGTACTGCTTTTCCAGAGTTCAAATCTTAGCACCTGTAACTCCACCTCCAGGGCGACCCACTCCTCTGGCCTCTGTGGGCGCTGCATTCACGTGCAGACACACCCGCACACATAACTAAAAAGAATAAAAATAAAGACCTGGAGAGTTGACTCGGAATTAAGAGCACTTGTCCTTGCAGAGGACCAGGGTTCAATTCCTAGCACCCACATGGTGCCTCACAGCCGTTATTAACTCCAGATAGGGGAGATCTGACGGCCTCGTGTGACCTCTGCAGGCGTCAGGCACGAATGTAATGCAGACATACATATGTGTGAGTAAAACAGTCATCCACATAAAATAAACGAATCCTTGATAATAATAATGAAATCAAAACTAAGTTTCACAAAATCAAGCAGAGTATGGCTTCTGAAGCCAGGCTTGGTAGCTTGGGCCTTTAACCTTTGCTAGTGTAGAGGCAACAGAAGGATCTTGAAGTCAAGTCCTGCCTGGGTTGCTGGGCAAGTTTAAGGGCATCTTAAGGAGTTTGGCAAGGTCTTGTGTCAAAATTTTAAAACTACAAAAAGAAAAAAAACAGAACAAAATAATACAAAAAAAAAGTAGAAAGTTAAGCTCAGTACAGGGAACTTGTCCAGCGTGCAGGAGGCCACACATTCAAGCTCCAGAGCCTCTTTTTAAAAACTCGTATCTTTCTCTTACTGAGGTCAATCCAGGTAAAAGAGGGACCGGGCAACAAAACTTCACTTTCTGAATAAGTACCCCCACCTCACCCCCATCATAAGGTACACCGCAGGTCCTCAGGCAAGTCTGGCTGACCACTCAAAGTCCACTTAATCGAAGGCTAGAGTAACAAAGAACCATGGAGGTTAACTTTGCAACTGTTTGCAACAGGGTTCGTCTGCCAGATCTCTGGCTGGGCACTGCAAACTCTTCACCTCATCAAAATTGCCTTTTATTAAGCCTAATATTCAGAATGAAGAGAGCTGCTGATTACGGGTCCTGAGTTCCTATGGCAACAGCAAAATAGATGCTGAAGTGTCTGTAGCACCGAAGGAAAAAATACACTAATAATACGTAGCCTGTGAATCCTTCCAGTGAGAACTCACTGAGAGCCAGCTATTTCTACATTTGGGAACAAGGATGACTGCAGAGATCTTCAAACTTCTAAAACCCAGATAAACAGTCTTTGCTAGTCATGGAAACAACTCTGGGTCAAACCATGCTTACAACTAATTCAGATGTGTCATCCTGAAGCTTCAAGTATAGGCTGGAAAATCATTTCACCTCAAAAGTTAAAGGCTACTTCCTGCCCTCTCTCTTGCTCACGGAAAACTGGCAGAGTGGGCAGTTCCCAGCAACACCTGTGCACGGCCACATGTGACTGCACAGGGGACTGTCACCTTCTGCTTCTGTGCACATCTCTCTCTGTTCAGAATGCAGAAGTAATTCCCAACAGGGAGCCCTGAGGTGTACCCTTTATGTTCGTTTTCAGAACACAGACTCTACGGTTTCCTGGGATTACCATACCAAGCACCACAGAGCAACGTGGTTTATGTGGCTAAAAATAGCTTCCTTACAGTGACAGGAAGTTCAGTCATGGTGTCAGTGGGAGTGGTTTCTTCTCTAGGGTCTGTCCTCAGCTCTCAGACGTCCGCCTTGTCCCTCTGCCGAGGCTTGCCACTGTGTTTGTCCATCAGGAGACTCCCAAAGCTCAGGGCCATCATAAGGAATCTGTGGTGCCTTGCCCAGGGTTTAACTTGATGGGATGCCGAATGACAGGTGGCTTTCACCATCTAGGGACAAAGACGTTCTAAGGCAGTTAGCAAAGCAGCTGGGACACCAGAGAAAAGGCAGCTGCTGCCCTGAGACCCACCTGACAGTAGGGATGACAGCTCAGTTAGAATACTGGATGACTTCCTGAGAGCCAGCTGTGCCAGCAGGTCTCTCCGTACTTAAACGTGGCTCCTGTGGTGGTTTCAGTGAGTATGGCCCGCACAGGCTCACAGGTCTGGATGCTTAGTCACCAGGGAGAGGCACTACTTGAGAAGGATTAGAAGGTGTGGCCTTTTTGGAGAAGTGTCATTGGTTGGGCTTTGAGTTTCAAAAGCCCACCCTCATCCCAGCCTGTGCCACTCACCCCCACACCTCCACCCTCCCACTCCCCACCCCCCCACCTGCAGATCAGGACATAAAGCTTTCAGCTGGTGTTCCAGGGTCAAGCTCCCACCATGCTCCCCATCATGATAATGGACTAGTCCTCTGAAACTGTAAGCAAGCCCCCAGTTAAATGATTTCTTTCATTAAAGCTGCCTTGATCATGGTGTCTGTTTACAGCAACAGAGCACTGACTAAAAGAATTCCCTTTGCTTTTAGAATAAAGTCGGACTTTTTTCAGTTTTATTTTTAATGGAGGTTACAAATGTGTAACATTAAATTTACCATCTTAACTCAAAGAAAAAAAATTTTTGAAACAGGATCGATCTTAGAACTCACTATGTAGACGAGGCTGGCCTTAAACTAACAGAGATCTGTCTGCATCTGCCTTCCTAGTGCTGGAAGTAAAGTAATATGCCATCATAGCCAGCCTTTAAAAAGAAAGGTTTTATTACTATTTTATTATTATTGTGTATGTAGGGAAAATGATGTTACAACATGTCTATGGAAGTCAGCGGGCCATTTAAGGGAGTGTGTTCTCTTCTTCCACCATGTGCTACCCAAGCATTGACCTCATGATGTTAGGCTTGGCAGCCATCTCGCCAGCCCCCCTTTTAACTGTGTGTGTGAGTTTGCATGAGTATGTGTGTGTGTGTGTGTACATGTGCCTTCACACCTGGTGATGAGGACTGAATCTAAGACTTCATACATCTCAGGCATATGCTCTACCACCAACCTACATTCCCAGCTTGATCTTAACCACGGGGCAGGACGCTAAATACTTCTGCATTTACTTGTATGTGGGGTACTGCTTTTCGAGGCCAGAGGGTCCAGGAGATCCAGTTCAGCTCACCCGTCTGGGCAGCAAACACCTTTTACCCACTGAGCTGTCCCCATGGCCTACACACTACACATCTCGAGCTGGCCTCAAATCGGGGCTCCTCCTGACTCTCTCCTGAATGCTGGGGTTCAGGTATGTGCCACCACACCTGATAGAATCTCCCTTTAAGGCTGCATAAATTTTCACTGTGGCTTTGTGTGTGTCCTTAACTTAGTATAGGCCTGAATTAAGCCCTAGTAACACGTTCATGCACACAAAGTATGATAAAAATTTTTTAAGGATTCTGGAATTTTCAAAATGTAACATATTTAGGCTTTCTTGCTACTACTAAAAGGGAAAAAAAGTTTTAGAGTTTTGACAAGAATGAAATAGGGCTGTGGATGTGGGTGAGCTGATGGAGGGTCACCTAGAGTTTGTGAAGCCCTGTGTTGAATTCTCAGCATTGCGTAATTGGTAACCGCTTATAATCTCAGCAAGGAAGGAATGAAAAGCAAGAATTCAAGGTCATCTTCAGTTACATATTGAGTTGAAGGACAGCCTGGGATACATTAGACAGAGAGAGAGAGAGAGAGAGAGAGAGAGAGAGAGAGAGAGAGAGAGAGAGAGAGAGAGAGAGAGAGAGGACAACTGCATATAGTGGTAACAGAAAGTAGCTGTGGTTTCTTTCCCATCTAATTGTGTACCCAGAATGTGGGCTGGCTAGTTTATGTCAATTTTAACAAATCAGTTACTTGGGAAAAGGGAACCACAACTGAGAAAATGCCCCACCAGACAGGTCTGCGGGCAAGCCTGTGGTCATTGTCTTGATTGGTGACTGATGTGGGAGGGTCCAGCCCACTGTGGGTGGTGCCGCCTGGGCTGGTGGGCATGGGTGCTGTAAGAAGGCAGGCTGAGCAAGCTCTGGGGAGCATAGCCTTCCTCTCAAGCTCCTGCATGAGCTCCTACTCAACGTTCCTGCCTGGACTTCCTGCAGAGATGGACTGTGATGTGGAGCTGTGAGCTGAAATACACCCTGTCCAGTTGTCTATGGTCACCGTAGTTTATGAGGGCACTAGAAACCCTAACTAAGACAGGGGACAAAGAAGAGCTTACACCAGGCACACGAAACTCCTGATCTGAGGAATTACTTTCTGAACCACACACTTACCACAATCACATCCAAGTCTCACCTGAACACTGAAAATACATTAACAGCTGGCCAGGCATTGGTGGCGCATGCCTTTAATCCCAGCACTTGGGAGGCAGAGGCAGGTGGATCTCTGTGAGTTTGAGGCCAGCCTGGTCTACAGAGTGAGTTCCAGGCCAGTCTCCAAAGCAATACAGAGAAACCCTGTCTCAAAAAAAAAAAAATAAAATAAAAGAATACAGAGGGTAAAAATTAAGCCTGAGACATGCTGAGACTCAGAGAAACAGTCTCCCCAGGGAAGAGCCCCCAAGTTGGTTATCTATAACTAAACTGTCAGCCCCGAAAACATACACACAAACAACATCATACAAACTGAGCAGGTTATATTTAGTTTTTTGTTGTTGTTGTTTTGTTTTTTTGTTTTTTTGAGACAGGGTTTCTCTGTGGCTTTGGAGGCTGTCCTGGAACTCGCTTGGTAGTCCAGGCTGGTCTCGAACTCACAGAGATCCGCCTGCCTCTGCCTCCCGAGTGCTGGGATTAAAGGCGTGCGCCACCAACGCCCGGCGAGCAGGTTATGTTTAGAAATGTACATTTATACACATATGCATGCAATAACAATTAGTGAAAAAAGAGGCATGAATTTGAAAGCAAGCAAGGAGAGGTACATGGGAAGGCTCAGAGGGAGGAAAGGAAAGGGAGACATTTTGTAATTATAATTTCAACCATTAAAAAAATTAAGCAAAGTAAACAAAACAGAAACAAAAAAATTAAGCAAAGTGAAGAAGCAACACAAGATACATAAATCCCAACATAGTAACATAAGGAACACACATGAAAATCAATGATATAAATTATTAAGCTCACATCAATGGCATCTAGTGAGAGATAAATTCAGAGAACTCAGACACAGCTGAACAAAATATAGATGCTCTCCTAGTTTGCTCTCTGTTGCTGTGATAAAACACTGACTAAAAGCAACTTGGAGAGAGGGGCTTACGTTAGTTTCTGTTTCCAGGCTGAACACTCAGGAAGCCAGGACGGGAGCTTAACAAGGGCCACAGAGGAATGTTGTTCACCGACTTCTCAGCCTCCTTCCTCACACAACTGAGGACCAACCCACTCGAGGGTTGCCTGGCCCATAGGAGACATCAATCATCAATCAAGAAAATGTCCCCACAGACTTGCTGGCAGGCCAATCTGATGAAGGCAATCCTCAAGTGAGGGTCCCTCTTCTCAGGTAACTCCTATTTGTGTCGAGTTGTTGAAAACTAGCCAGCATGGAAATCAATGGAAGCGATGAAAGAAGAATTCAATAAAAATATTGAAATACTGCAGGCAAACAAATCTCAAATGCTGGCAATAAAAAAAAAAACAACTATAGTCAAATCAAAATCTGGAGCAGTCTCCCAGCACAACGGACCAACGTGAAGACAGAGCATCTAAGCTCCATACAAAAATGAAGGAACTAGAAAAATTCAACACAGTTGGAGACAGTTACAAAAGGTACTGTTCAGAATCCTAGGACATAAGGACACAATGTAAACTCCAGATTTAAAGGCATAGAAAACACTTAGAATCATAACAAAAGTTTCTCAGAACTAGGAAAAGAGATGCCAATCTAAATACAGGAGGCACCAGGCATGGTAGCACAGGAGACAGGTAAGCACTTGGGAGACTGTTAAGGAGACCTCAGTGAGATTGAGGATCACCAAGTCTACAAAGTGAGTTTCAGGCAGCCAGGGATACATAGTGAGACTGCCTCAAAAAACAGGATACCAAACAGACAAGACCAGAGAGGAACCTCCACACCTGTAACATAATTAAAACACTAAGTAGACAAAGTGTCTTGAAAGCAGGCTCACCAGAATATAACAGATTACTCCAATGAAACCGTCTAATCAGAGGGCTCAGAATGATGTATTCCAAGTTCTGAAAGGCAACAACTGCCAACCCAGAATAGTATTCCAAACAAAGCTGTCATAATTAAAGGAAAACTAAGCATTCTCCATGATAAAAATAGATGAAAGGAATTTATGACCCTGAAGGCAGCTCTACAGGAGATACTGGAAAGGATTCTACATACTGAAGAGGAAAACAAATCCCTCACAAGGTAGGCCAGAGGAGAGACTAAACCGTGCTACACTACATAATCAAAAGGGTGACCAGAATCAATACACAAAGTTCTTTACCTTAGAATTTCCTTTCTTTTTTTTTCTGTCTGTTTTTTGTTTTGTTTTGTTTTGAAGACAGGGTTTCTTTGTGTAGCCCTGGCTGTCCTGGAACTCGCTCTGTAGACCAGGCTGGCCTTGAACTCACAGAGATCCACCTGCCTCTGCCTCCTGAGTGCTGGGATTAAAGGCGTGGCCACTGCTGCTCCACAACTTCCAAAAATAATTCTGAATACCGATAGTGTCAATTCTTCAATCAAAAGACACAGACTAGTACATTGGATTAAAAAGCAGGAACTGGCCACGCCTTTAATCCCAGCATTCATGGGCAGAGGCAGGCAAATCTCTGAGTTCCAGGCTAGCCTGAACTACAGAGTGAGTTTCAGGACAGCCAGAACTTCCAAAAACAGAGACTTCTTAATGGCGAAATGATAGAAAGAGACATTTCAAGAAAATGAATTTAGGAAACAAGCAGGATGTTTAGTGTCTGGTACGGTAGACGTCAAACCAACACCAGAGAGGAAAGAGAGAAGACTGACCTTTTCATACTGACTAAGCAAATACCAACCAAGAGGCCATTACACTTCTAACACGCACACTCTGAATTCAGGGGCGCACAGTTTCATAAAACAAATACTACTAAAGGTCAAGTCAGATTCAACCCAGCTCAATCGTAGTGAAAACTTCAGTGCCCTGCTTTTATTAGTTGACTGCTGTAGTTTGAGTGAGAATGGCCTCCCAGGCTCATTATTTGAGTGCCTGGCCCCCAGTCAGTGGAACTGTTTGGGAAGGATTAGGAGGCGTGGCCTTGTTGGAGGAGGTGTGTCACTGGGAGTGGGTTTTGAGGTTTTAAAAACTCATGCCATTCCTAGTCATGCTATCTCTGCCTCCAACCTGTGGATCAGATGTAAACTCTCAGCTCCTGCTCCAGTGCCATGCCTGCCTGCATGCCAACACATTGCTTGCCATGATGATCAGGAACTAACCTCTGAAACTGTGAGCAAGCTCCCAATTAAATGCTCTTTTATAAGTAGCTTTAGTCATCATGTTTCATCACAGAAAATAGTAATCAAGATTCAGATCATCCTGACCAAAATTAAATGGTCTGCAATATCTGAATTAAATGACAACATAGATCAAATGGGCTTGACAGACATCTATAGAGCACTACATCCAAACATGGCATGTTTCTCAGCATCCCAAAGCACTTTCTCTAAAACATGATATTTTAGGTCACAAGGCAACTCTTAAGAAATATAGGAAACTTGAAATGTTTCCTTGTAGTCTATCTGATCACAATGGAATAAGACTACAAATTAACAAGAAAAACTCTAGAACATACACAAACATGTGGAAATTAAACCACACACTACTGAACAATGAATGGCTCCTTGGAAAAAAATCAAGAAGAAATAAAAACATTCCTAGAATCAAATGAAAATGAAAATACAACATACAGAAACCCTTGTGACACAATGAAATTAGTCATGAGGGACGTCTGTAGCTCTAAGTGCCTATAAAATTAGAGAGAGCTCCCATAAATAATGCTATACCTCATAACTGTGAAAAAATAATAACAAAGTAGAGAGAGAAGGAATGGAGAGAAGGAAAGAAGAGGGAGGAGAGACAGCTCAGCAGTCACAAGCACCGGCTGCTGCTCTTGCAGAGGACCTGGGTCCGGTGGTCTCCAGCACCCACGTGGTAGTTCCCAACCATCTGTACCTCCATTTCCAGGAGATCTCATGTCTTCTTCTGACCTTCATGCCAGGCACACGTGTGATGCACACACATCCATGCAGGCAAAACATCCATACACATAACATAAAAATAAAAGAGCTGAAAGAAGCAAGACTTTCCATAGAATGTTGAAAGGCAAGTCTGTGCTTCATCACTGATCACAGATAAAGTATGGTAACTCTTCAGCTATTCTAATATTGCAATTCTGGCAAAAACAGAAGGCAGAAATTTTTCGGTTTAAAGTGAACTATTATTTGCTAGCATACTACAGGGTTCAGTTTAAGTTGTCACTGGATTGAAAAGTCACTGAGAAGATAAAAGTCTGAACCATGATTAAAAAACAGTCTGATAGTTTTATTTTTTTTAAGTTTTGGGAAAATATGGTTGCCAGCTATTAAACTTTTGTGTGTCTGTTTAACAATAATTTATTTCAAATCTAAGTTGAAAAACTACATTGTCTAGGATTGTAATGTTGGAGTGTTTGAGATTACTTGGAGAGATTTTTCTTTTTTTTTCTTTAAAAAAATTTAGGTTTATTTACTTTATTTTGTGTATATGAATGTTCCACACAAATGTATGTGTAACATGTACATGCCTGGTGCCTATGGATGTCAGAAGAGAATGCTGGAGCCCCTGGAAAGGGCATTATGGATGGTTATAAGCCACCCTGTGGTGCTGAAAACCAAACTTGTGCTCTCTGCAAGAACAAGTGCTCTTAACTGCTGAGCCATCTCTCCAGCCCCAAGAAAAAGATTTGTCGTTTGATTATTGAGAGACCCGGCCCCAGCAAATCCCTGATCTGCAGCCTCTACACAGACCCTGAATGGCTTGGCTCTGAGCCTCAACCCAGTGGAAGAAACACACCCTGGATTTGGGACCTGATCCAGCCAAAGAGACACTTTATCCCTAAACCTGGAGCCAGGGAAAAACTAACTCTGAAACTAGCACCAAAAGGACACACTTTGCCCCTAGAATCGGAACCTGTAAAAGAAATTCACCCAGGTCCTAAAATAGGAACCTAAAAGCCAAAGAGAACCATAGAAAGAAACGCAGTTTGGCCCCGAAATGGGAGCCATCTTTGCTTCTGACACAAAACCAGCCAATCCCTGGGCAGGGAAAACTGACCAATCCCTGAGTAGTAAAGTAGCAACCTCTAGGGGGGACCTTTCTAGCCCAGGGAAATAGTGAAGTAGTAACCCCTGGTTTAGAGACTGTGCTTTGACCTTTTCCGGAACTCAGCCCAGAGGGGCAGCCAATCAATCACAAGCCCGAATGCTTTCTCCATTTGTCTGTATAAAAACAACATTTCTCCCCATCAGGAATGGCAAATCTTCACATTGGCTTGAAGAAGGAAAGAGGAATATAAACTAAACATTTAGTACTTTAATGTGGTAGCCTACTTATGTCTGCTTGAGAGCTATAAGACTTAGAGACCAGATGAGTTAAGATTCTTACTGAGTTCTATTCTTTGTACTCCCTTGAATTCCCCAACCTTTATCTTGAGAAACCAAATGCTTGGAGAGTCATCTTTTTAAAGTTTTTTTTGTTTTTTGAGACAAGGTTTCTCTGTGTAACCCTGGCTGTCCTGGAACTTGCTCTATAGACCAGGCTGAAGGTCTGCCTGCCTCTGTCTTCCTAGTGCTAAGATTAAAGGCAAGTGCCAACACAGCCCCGTTTTTAATTACTTTTGTTTTATGTGCATTGGTGTTTTGCCTGCATGTATGTCTGTGTGGGGGTGTTGGGTGCCCTGGAACTGGAGTTACAGACAGCTGTCTGGGAATTGAACCCAGGTCCTCTAGAAGAGCAGTCAGTGCTCTTCACCACTGAGCCATCTCTCCCTCTTGCAGAACCGTCTTTTTTTTTTTTTTTTTTTTTTTTTTTTGGCTTTTACGAGACAGGGTTTCTCTATATTGTTTTGGAGGCTGTCGGTCCAGCCTGGCCTCGAACTCACAGAGATCCGCCTGCCTCTGCCTCCCGAGTGCTGGGAGTAAAGGCGTGCGCCACCACCGCCCGGCTTGCAGAACCGTCTTAAGAAATGGTCAGCCCAGGCATTCCATTAAACAAGACTCTGTTTGCTAAGGGAAGAATTCCTTTTCATGGTAGCTAGTGGTACATGCCTTTAACCCCAGAACTCTGGAGACAGAGACCTGTGGGAAAACTAAACCTCAATGGGCCTGACAGCTGGCCTAGAGCATGCATGGTAGATACCTCCTGACAGCCTAGACTGACAGTAAAAGCATGCAAGGTAGATGTCTCCTGGGTCTGCCAGAGAGTCTGACGAGAGATGCCGTGGACCTATGGACAGTGACCACACCACCTCTGCAGATGCCAGCTCAGTGAATCTCCTCCCTGGGGCCGGGTTGGGGGGTTTATAAGGCTCACCCCTGCCTGCAACAAACTGAGTTACTGTCTCAACTTGTTCCTGGTGCCTATGTAGTTGGTGTAGCGCCTACTTTACCCCACCCCCAAGGGACACCCATCAGGACCCTGCAACAGAGACCACTGCAGAAAACCACAGCCAGCCAAAATGCAGAGAACAAGTGATCACAGAGAGCTGAGCTCCAACTGATAGCTATGTCTGCAACACAACGCCTACACCTGAAGTTCAGGGGTCTTCATGGAGGAGGGAGCAGGAGGGTTATGGGAGGCAGACCACCAGGAAATGTGCTGTGAGATTTTGTCTTGCAGAAATGACACAGGGCTTCACCCATGATACCTGAACAATATGGTTGCCTAAACAAAACCAAAAGAAATGTGACACCAATGGGCATGCTAAAATGGTGGGGGGCAGGTCATGGGGCCCCACCTCTAAACCAAGAACTATAGGCGACTAAGGAATGCTGAGCACAAGACAAATCATCTTCTGAAAGTCCCACTCAAACCCTTACACCTTGTTGAGAATAAAAAAATGTCATGGTTGAGCAAAAAGTATCAAAATTACAAGTTCAGAAAATTATACAACAGTAAAATTACTCTTAAAATTTTCAAAGCCATCAACTCCTTAGCCATACAGTCAAATAGCATAATGGCAATATACATCAAAGGAAAACTGTGTGATAGATTGTTTATAATTTATTAAAGCCACTGGAGATTAAAACAGCAAGGTAGCCATACTAGTTAGCTGTAGAAGCCAGGCAGTGGTGGTACACACCTTTAATCCCAGGACTCAGGTTTAAGAGGTGCACGGATCTCCATGAGTTCTAGGCCATGCTGACTACATGAAATTGATCCAGTCCTAAAAGAAACAGCTCACACAAACGTGATCCCAGCACCTGGGATCAGGCCTTTAATCCCAGGTGGAGACGGGAGTGATATGGCTGGGTGGAGAAAGGAATAAAAGGAGGTGTAGACAGGATTTGAGAGCCTTTTGCCTCTGAGGATTCCTGGAGACAGCATAGCCATTTCAGCCGGGTGGAGGTCAGATTTACTGGCTTGGCTGCTTTGCCTCTCTGGTCTTCAGCTTGAACCCCAGTATCAGTCTTTGGATCTTTTATTTATCATGTTACCAAAAACGACTGCCATTTGTAATAAACCAAACCAGTTTGGAAATAATCCATAAGTCTTACCATAAAGGGCGGTAAATAAACTATGCTATCACCACCCACTAGTATGTCATAGTGCTGAAGGGAGGAGAGATGAAAGATTTCCAGGATGGGTTGGTAGAAAGGCAAGGCACAGGCCATTTATATGTTCCTCTTTGGAAGTAAAGAGATGAAAGACATATACTATACATACAAATAGTTAATTTGCTTTTATTTTTAAAACAAAACTCTGGAAGGATAAGTAGAATTGGGACAGGTTTGGAATCACATGCCTGCAATCCCAGCACACTCAGAGAGCTGAGGTGAGCTCAAGGCCAGCCTGGGCTGTGGAGTGAGTTGCAGGTCAGTATGAGATACAGTAAGATTCTGCCTAAAAACAAACACACAAAGAAACAACCCCAGAAAGAAGGCTGGGAGATGGCCAAACAGGGAAGAAAATCTCGAGGACCCCAGATCCGGGGTGTGGAGTGGGTGCCTGTAACCCTATCAGTGGGGTGAGAAGTGAGACGGGGATCTCTGCAGCTTGCTGGCACCCAGCGTAGCTGGAGGCTCACGGTGGTAAGGTAGAGCAATGAAGCAGGATCCATTCTCCTCTGGCCTCTGTGTACTACACACGCGCGCGCGCACACACACACACACACACACACACACACACACACACACACACACACACGCGCGTGCGCGATATTTTTAAAGAAAAAAAAGACAGCAGGGAAGAAGAGAACCAGAATTGGTTTCTGGAAAGGAGGGACAGGAACAATCTAGATTATGTTCTCATTTCATTATTACAACAAATCTGAGGTAAATGTTGGTATTGTTCCCAGCTCACAGATGAGGAAAGCCTCTTGCCCGGTTAGGTTACCAGTCCACAGCTAGTGACTTGTGGCTGAGTTTTAGCCTCCCTTTGTCTCTCAAGTCCCTGCTACTACTCTCCTCAGACTGCCCCGCGTGCAGACACTGGCTCCAGGCCTTCATCTTAGGATCAGACAAAGGGCAGCAAGGTCACAAAAGGCAGGCTCCAGCCACATGCCTTTGAAGAGGTCCCCGACACAGGGAGCCAGCGCTTGGAGACACTGGTTGAGCCAGTGGTTCCCAGGCAGCTTCTGTTTATCTGTTCCTCTGTTGATTTCCTGGCTTTTCGGACTTCTGTTTCGGAAGCAGTGAGTGGAGGAGGGGTTGGAAACATGATCCACTTTATGCGGTACATGCAGTTCCCTGAGGCAACTCCTTATTTTTTTTTTCCTGAGATTTTTGAAGTTTAGAGTTATTGCTGTACTAGCTCTGGACACTTTGTCCAAGCGAGCGCATAACGGGACGTGAAATCAGAGGTGACTGAAGCCGGCTTCCTGGGTCAGGCTGCTGCAGTCAGGCCACTGGGTTTCCTAGGCAGGAAAGACAAGCTGCAAACTGGCGATCCCGGAGGTTTGTTTGCTGGCTGGGGAAGGTGCTGGTAGCTGCTTCAGATGGCTGGGTGTTCCGGATCTTTTGTTAACCCATTATCGCCTTTATTCCTGTCATGGGGAAATGTCTCTTTAGCCAGATTTATTTTTTCTGTGGAAATTTCCAGGCTTTTGACTTACTCGGAGTAGCCAGATCCTAAAGGGTTTTTCTGTTTTGTTTTGTTTTGAGACAGGGCCTCACATCATAGCCCAGGCTGACCTGGAATTCCTGGAACTCCTGTGTTGCAGCCTCTGGAGCACTGGGATTACAGGAGAGAGCCACCACAACTGGCTGCAACCACTTTCTCACAGCTGTCACGGATGCATGAAAGCTGAGTGGCCAGGCTGGGAGACACACAGATGACTCAGGTGGCAGGCTTGGGCAGGGTCCCTGGATCTGAGTAAAACAAAGCCCAGCTGTAATAGCACCTCTTCTAATCGCTGTGCTGGGCAGGTGGACAGGTAGATCCCTGGGGTCCACTACGTGGCCAGCCCAGCTGTATCAGTGAGCCCCGGGGCCAGCAAGAGACCTTGTTTCAAAGAGTAAGATGCGGAGCTAGACATGGCCCAGCAGTGAGCAGCACTGGCTGCTCTCGCACAGGACCCAGGTCCAGTACCTAGGTGGATTGTCCTTAAAAAATGACACCCAAGGTTGATCTCCAGCTGTCAGGCACACATACATAAACTCTCATACACACACTCTCACACAAAAATACACATACACACACACTCACACATACATGTACACACTCCACACACAAACACACACTCTCATATACACACACTAATACACACATTCTCTCTTACACACACACATACTCACATGCACACTCACACACACACACATGCACACACAGAGTGGTGCTGCAGGGAGGTTCTGTGTGGAGCTTTTAAAACATGTTAGAGAACAACCTTTCTTTCCACCACCTGGGTTCTCTGGATCAAACTCAGGTCATGGGCTTTGTACAACATGTGATTTTTGTTTTTTTACCTACAGAACCATCTTGCAGACTCCATCTAGAGTTCTTTGGAAAGAGGTGGAGTGGAGTGTTTGCAAGAGAGGGATATCCTCAAGCCCCACATGAAAAAAATGGATGTCCTTGGACTGCAGATTACTCTCTCTCTCTTGATTTAATCTGTGACACTGGCTTGCCACACTGCCAGTGGGGGCCTGGGTTAGGGCCGTGGTCCTGAAAAATAAACAGTTCCCAATGCCATAACCCTGAATGCTGAAATCCTAATTTTTTTTTTCAGATAAGAGCTCATGTGGCCAAGGCTAGCCTTGAACTCCTGATCATCCTGCCTCCACTTACTAAGTCCTAGAATTACAGATGTGTGCCACACGCTCAGATAATTACATGATGAAAAGAGGACTCATCTGAAGCACATTATAAGCATGACAGAACACTTCACAGCCACCTGAGTTTACACAGCACACATCTTTGCAAGCATAAACACCCAGCTATAGTAACAACCCTCGCACAAACATAACAGTCTTGAAAAGATGAATGGTGTTCTTAAAGAAATAGGTCAATATGCCCAGTAGCGGTGGCGCACATCTTTAATCCCAGCACTCGGGAGGTAGAGGCTGGTGCATCTCTGTGAGTTCGAGTCCGCTTGGTCTACAGCGTGAGTGTCAGGATAGGCTCCAAAGCTACCCAGAGAAACCCTGTGTCAAAAATGGAATGAATACAGTCATCGGTGCATCAGCGGGGTTATCTGAGTGCATCCAGCTTACAGTTGCAGGCACCTGAGATGCTGTGGGCAGAGGCTGGGAACATAGCTCAGTGAAGAACACTTGCCTATCTAGCTAGGATGCAAATCCATGGGGGGAGGGGGAGGGGCATCCAAAGCCCTGCTGTGAGTCACTCCCACACAGGCAGGTCTTCAAGGAGCCAAGTCCAAAGGCCTTAGAGCCAGAAAAGCCAACCGCGCAACTCTCTGCCCCAGGCCGGAAGTGCTTCCAGCCCCCAGAGACCAGTTAGCTTTCTGTGTCTGTTCTTTAAGGGTCCTGGCCGACTAGACAGTACCCCAAATGAGGTTGGATCTTCTCTGCGATAGATTCCCACACTGGTGCCTACACCAGGATTCTATCTTATATCCAACCCAAAATGCATCCAGCCCCACCCCAGAACTTGGCTTTCGGCCCCTCTTTTATGCCTTTTTAAAATGGAATTGTGGCTGGGGGTTGGTGGCGCACGCCTTTAATCCCAGCACTCGGGAGGCAGAGGCAGGCGGATCTCTGTGAGTTCGAGACCAGCCTGATTTACAAGAGCTAGTTCCAGGACAGCCTTCAAAGCCACATAGAAACCCTGTCTCAAACCCCCCACACACACTCAAAAAAGAGAGAATTCACACTGGAGTGAGGACCCCAAGCCCCAGTCACCATCAGCGTGAGCCTCACAGCACCAAGCCTCATGTTCCGGGGGTGTCAGGATGACTCAGTGAGTCAGGTGCCTGCAGCCATTCCTGATGACTTGAGTTTGATCCTGGCAGCCACACGGTGGAAGGGGAGGACCCACTCCACAAAGTGCTCCTCGGACCTCCGCATGCGCGCTGCGGCTTGTGTGTACCTCCTCAATAAGGACAAAAAACTTAAATTGCCATTCCACGTTTTTATCTTCATGTCAGTCTTAATGAAACATATTTCATACACCATGTAATCTAATTACTTAAACTGTACTTGCAATTATCGTTTTTAGGATTTTCAGTTTTGAATACAAACATCGTCATAATGATTTGAGAACATTTTCATTAATTCATTTTCCCACCTCTTGCCTGGAGTGTGGATTCAGCTGCCCTGTCCATTACACAAGCTGGTTTGCACAGCTTGGCCTGTGCTTTCGTGCCCGGCATCTTTCACGGGGTGCAGTGCCTTGCGGGCTCACCCATGGTGCCGGAAGTGTCAGTACTGCGTTCCTTTGTGCTGAGCCATGAACGTGCCTGATGTTGCGTTGTTTGTCTGCTCCTTGGTGGTGTATTTCATCATGTAACTGAAGAAACTGAAGCATATAATTAGGTTGAGGGTTGGGACCATGGAAAGCCAGGTGTCCTTGGCTTTCTTCAGAATTCAGTCATTAAATAGACACATTGGGCCTCATAATTTGTTTTTTTTTTCCTTAGTGGTGTGCGCACATGTGTGTACAAGTGTGTGTTCTCATGTTTGGATGGATACCAGAGGAGGACATCCTCTATCACCCTCCTCCTCCTCACTCCCCTGAGACACAGCGTCTCACTGCACTCGGAGCTAGACTGGCAACCGGCAGGCTGAGTGAGCTTCCGGTCTCTGGCTTCCTGCAGTCCCGGGCTTCGGGGTGTGAGTGGCCACATGAAGCTCTGTCTGCGGGTTCTGGGATCTGGGCTCGGGTCTTAGGTTTGTACGGCACACGCATTCTTACCCGCTGAGCCATCTCTCCAGCCTCTGAGGTCTGTCACCTAAAAATGCAGATTCATATCTACTTTCACAACACATTGGCCTAGGACATTTTGCAAACAGGAATGAAACTTAGAGATGTGAATGCAGTGCAGGCCAGGCCACCTTTCTGGGTACTTGGTGTTGTTATGTGAGAGTTTTCCCACTTCTGAAGAAAAAGAGAAGAAACATTTCAAAGGTGGAAAGAATTAATTTAAAAATCTTTGTACCAGGCAGGTTCCCTCTGTGTCTCTCTCCCTCTGTCTATGTCTGTCTCTCTCCTGTTTTCTCTCTGTACAAGCCAAGCCAAGGCTCACGGAACTGCGAGGGGCAGAGAAAATCCAGTTGTGGATACGGAAGTAGAACCCAGGAGGCTAACAGTTATCCAACGTCAGCCTAGGCTGCGAGTATGGGCCCTAAAATGCAGAAGCCGCATGGGAGCCTTGGGAAACTCCCCGCTGCTCTTTGCTGGTTGGTTTTGCACTGCCAGATACCAACCCCTGCCTCACATGTGCTGGGCTGGATTAGGTGTATCTTCCCAATACTGTTAGACACTTAGATGAGCCCTTGGGTGGGGTGGTCCTAGAGGAGGCAGCTATAGTAAAAATAATAAAACTGACAAAATTAACTCAGGAGTGGAATTCAACATCATTCTGAGACAGGCTGCACCACACAAGAAAGCACTGTCAGAGCTTGTGCAAGCATTCGGGGCTGCAACAGCGTGGAGAGACTTCTGTCGTCCGTCTCTGGTTTCCTCTTTCTATTCTGTTTCACAGAAGCAGGTGGGGATTCTAACTCAGGAATCCTAGACTAACCCCCGACAGCTGGGCAGATCCACAGCCAGGACTGTCCCCGTTGATGGAGGCTACTCTAATACACATTCAGGTGTTCTCAGAATCCTAAACAAATTCTCACTCCTGTCCTGCTTGATTCCTCTTCTTCTGCAGCGCCTGTGATGGCTGAGACACAGGTGTGTACTGCTTGTGGGCAAGGGCCTCCTGCAGGAGAGAGTGGCCAGCAGACACTTTAAAGGGGGACAAAAACAAAACTGAAGCAAGTTGCAGCACAGTGCATAGAAACAGTGTGGCTGTGCCAGCTGAGCCACTGGAAACTATGTGTCTCCAGGGATGTAGCCAAATTTAGAAAAACCACAGACATGAGCAGTAAATCCTGAGAGTCAGTGGGTCCAGGTGGGGAGCCAAGGCTTTGGGCGTGGACAGTAGGGAGAACTAATGGTTCATTCAGAAAATTATGTTCATTTATTTACTGTGTGGTGGGTGTGCTCTGTGTGTGTATGTGTGTGTGTGTGAGAGAGAGAGAGAGAGACAGACAGACAGACAGACAGACAGACAGACAGACAGACAGAGTCAGGTCAACCTGCAAGACTCTGTCCTCTCTGTCCAGCTGGTGGGACCCAGGGGATCAGACTCAGGCCTGATGTGCCTTTACCTGCTGAGCCATCTTACAGGCCCAGACATCTCATTCTTAAGCCTAGTGGTAGAGACAGTGTGAGCATTGTTTGTACTTGTGCTGGCTAGATTTTTTTGTCATCTTAACACAAGCTAGTTATTAGATATGGGGGAACTTCAACTGAAAAAATGTCTTTGATTAAAATTTTCCAGCACTCAGGTGACGGAGGCAAGAGGATCTCTGAGTTTGAGGCCAGCCTGGTCTACAAAGTGAGTTCGAGGACAGCCAGGGCTACACAGAGCAACCCTGTCTCAAACACCAAAAGCAAACAAAAACTGTCCATCAGGCAATCCCATAGAACATTTTCTTGATTAATAATTGATGTGGAAGGGCCCAGCCCACTGTGGGTGGTGACATCCTGGGTTGATGGTCCTGGGTGGTAAAAAAAGCATATTAAGCTTTAATCCCAGCACTTAGGAGGCAGAGGCAGGCGGATCTCTGTGAGTTCGAGGCCAGCCTGGTCTACAAGAGCTAGTTCCAGGACAGCCTCCAAAGCCACAGAGAAACCCTGTCTCGAAAAAAAACCAAAAAAAAAAAAAAGCATATTAAGGGTTGGAGAGATGGCTCAGAGGTTAAAAAAAGCGGATTAAGCAAGCCAGTAAGCAGCATCCTCCATGGCCTCTGCTTCAGCTCCTGTCTCCCGGTTCCTGCCCTGACTTCCCTCAGGGATGGTCTGTGGCCTGGACGTGTAAGATGAAATAAACCCTTCCCTGCCAAGTTGCCTTTGGTCATGGTGTTTATCACAGCAATAGAATTTAATTAAAATTATTAATGATCATTGAGTTAAACATTGACCATACACCTGAGTACATGGGAGTATGAGTAGTTCCTGACGTAGGGATGCCTGTTAGGGATTAATGAAGGGTTTTCTGTGTGCTAAACATGAGCTCTCTACCCCAAATATCTGATCTCAAGTAACCCAGGCTGGCCTCAAAATTGCTAGGTAGCCAAGGATAGCCTTAAACGTCTGATTTTTCTGACTTCAACTTCAAAGTGCTGAGATTACAAGTGTGCACCATAAGTCTGTGCCTCCCTCCCTCCCTCCCTCCCTCCCTCCCTCCCTCCCTCTCTTCCTTTTTTTTTTTTTCTGAGATAGAGTTTCTCTATGTAACAGCCCTGGCTGTCCTGGAACTCGCTCTGTAGACCAGGCTGGCCTTGAACTCACAGAGATCCGCCTGCCTCTGCCTCCCGAGTGCTGGGATTAAAGGTGTGCACCACGACACCGTGTGGTTCTTTCTTTCCTCTCCTTTTTGTCTGCTTTTTTTTTTTTAAGATTTACTTTTATTTTCTATATGTCTGTGTCGATCTGTGTGTCTTTTTTAGTATATGTGCTGGTGC